AGGGTTTAGGGTTTGAGTTTAGGTTTACAAAGGGCCTCGGGACATGAACAAGTATAAAGGAGAGTTGGCCACAGGATAAAACAACTGGCTAGCTTAGATATCGCTGTTGCCAGGACTGTTGCATGACGGCTGTTATTGCTGCGCCTGACGTCATTGCGGCTATTACCACTGTCTACATCGAAGTGTTATAGCACTGGCTCATAGAACAGCGCAGTGCAAAAGCTGGGTTTACCCTAACACCCGAAATCATCAACACTCAAACCCGAAACCCTCTACGCAAAAAAAATTCGAAATCAAACCCCAAACCCTAGACCTTCAATCCTCAACCTTCCAGGATTTCGTGGCCTTATGGTTGTGGCTTTAGTGTTTTTTAGGGTTTTTTAGGGATAAGGGTTTAGGGTTTGGGGCTTTATGGCTTTAGGGTTCCAGGTTCGGGTTGAGCGCCGCAGAGTTTTCGCGCTCCAGGTGTTCGAGTTGGGGTGTTGTGGTTCAAGGTTTTGTAACCCTAAACCTTAACCCCTAAACCCTAACCTTGAACCCTAAACCCCTAAACCCCTAAACCCTAAACCCTAAACCCTAAACCTTAAACCCTAAACCCTAAACCTCTGAGCTCTTCGGTTCGGGTGTTTTGAGCCTTTAGGGTCGGTGAGTTTCAGAGTTCGGAGCTTCGGGTTCAGGAGCTGCTGCGCAGGGGAGCTGTTAGGGCCGTTAGGGTTTATAGGGCTTATAGGGCTTATGGGGTTTATAGGGCTTATAGGGTTTATAGGTTTTAGGGTTTAGGGGTTTAGGGTTTGGGGGTTTGGGATTTTGGGGGTTTAGGGTTTAAGGTTTAAGGTTTAGGGTTTAGGGTTTAGGGTTTAGGGTCAGTAGCATAGGGCATTGAGGTTTAGGTAGAGGGGCTAGGGCCTGAGACTTTGGGGGAATCTTGCATAGTAGAGTATACCCCAAAGGCACCTCCAAAATCCTACACGGTAGAATTCGTGGTCGTCTCCCCTTCTAGGTCCCTATATACTTGTAGGCGAACAAATTTCAGGCTTCTAGATTAACCCTAAACCCTAAACCCTAAACCCTAAACCCTAAACCCCTAAACCTAAACCCTAAACCCTAAACCCTGAGGGCGGGATTCTTCAAAACTCCTTCTGTCCATCGCCAGGGCGACATCGACTCACCCAAGGCATGGACGGCGAAGAAGCCCCGGACCAGCCTCCCGGCTGAAACCCTGAACCTCTACACCCTAAACCCTGAACCCCCAAAACCCCAAGCCCCTAAACCCTAAACCTCTAAACCCTACATCCTAAACCCAAAACCCCCGAAACCCTAAACCCTAAAACCTACACCTCTAAGCCCTCTAAACCCTAGACCCTAAACCCTAAACCCCCAAAATCCCACAAACCCCTAAACCCTAAGCCCTACACCTCTAGGCCCTAGACCCTAAACCCTGAACCATACGTCTCAAAAAGCTCCAGCAAGATTCGGTTTTCGGCGTTGTCGGGGGGTCTTGGGCGTAGAGCTTGTGGCAGTCAAAGGGCATAGGGTTCAGGGTTTAGGGTTTAGGGTTTAGGGTTTAGGGTTTAGGGTTTAGGGTTCCAGGATCCAGTTTGAGTTTTGCAGGCTCTGGTTTCAGGACTTATTCCCAGGCCCCCTTTGAAGTCGCCGAAAGGTGCCTTGCATAGACCCGAGTCCCAAACCCGAAAACCGCTTCAACATCCGACAGAAGAAAGTCTGGAATCCTCCAGCCCTATCATCGCATCCTAGACCCCAGACCCGAAAAAAGGCTACAGTAACTCCCAAGGCCATGAAGGCCTGCACTCGGAAGCCTGGTCTCTGTGAAGGCTGTCGCTAAACCCCAACAGCGCGAAGCCCTGAAGCCATGTCACCAAAGGCTTTCGTGTTCTTGGTGCGCTGGTGCCGGAAAACTGGCTGCAGAAGTGCAGATGTTAAGGGCGTTGGGGGTTTTCGTCTTTGGGGCGTTAGGATTCGGGGCTTAGCCTTTAGTTTCTGGGTTTGGGGTTTGAGGATTTAGCCCTAAACCCTAAACCCTAAACCCTAAACCCCTAAACCGTGAGTCTAGAGGTTTCGGAGGTTTCGGGCTCTAGAGTCTCGCGGTGTGGGTTTGGACCTTCCTCGAAAGTAAGTTTGCCTTCAACGGTGCTTGTTACAAGGGTGCCGTGTTCTTTAGGGGACACGGGAAGCAAAAAAAACCCGAAACCCTAAAACCTAAACCCTAAACCCCAAAGCCTAAACCCTAAACCGTGCCAAGCACTGGAGCAGCCTACAGGTTTCAGCCCCAGAAAGCCCCCGACAGCTCAAAATCCCTAAACCCGTAGTAACGCACAAAAGCCTAGATCTGTGGATTTAGGGTTTAGGGTTTATTTTTCTCTAGACCCCAGAAACCGTCACGTCCCGAGTCCCTAAACCTGCATGGCCCAAGGGTTCAATCTCTATAGACCCCCAAACATCTAATTAACCCTAAACCCTAAACCCTAAACCCTAAACCCTAAAACCCTAAACCCTAAACCCTAAACCCTAAACGCAACCCCAAGTACTCCCACGACCCTAAGCTCTACAGACCCCCAGACTCCAAATGCCCTAAGCCCTAAACCCTAAACCCACACCTGCAGCTTAAACCTCATCTGTTTTCCCGTGGCAAGGCCTGCTTGGGGGTCCTGAAGAAGCCGACGGAGGTCGACGAGCCTTCCTAGGACCCGACGACAAGGGGTGTTAGGGTTTTAGGGTTTAGGGTTTCGGGTTTTAGGGTTTAGGGTTTAGGTTGTAGGTGTTTAGCGTTTTAGGGTTTAGGGTTCGGTCACTTGAGGTTTTGTCCGAGGTCTCTCGGGTTTTATGAGGTCTTTGTTCGGGTTCAGAACAGGTTAGACTGGAGTTTTGCGGCCGTGGATCATCTCATCGATCCTGGAGATCTCGCATTCCAGGGCGTTGGGCTTTGGGGTTTATAGACTATAAGCCCTAAACCCTAAAC